CTCCCCCCCGTGACGTCACACGCAGAACCCCCTGACGTCACTAGGTGCAAAAGGATCACATCCAGGCGCAGCCGTCCTCCCTGGGACGCCCTCTCCAGGGTTAAAAACGATCTCCCGCGTTTCACCGACATGAGCCCAAGCGAGCGATGACTTCGCTTTTTTCCTCCCCTAAGTGTGAACCAGTTCACAGACGGGAAGAGGCTGCTTTAGTGGAGAAAACAGCAAATAACGGGAGGCACAACTCAACAGCACACCGCTCCCCATTGTCACTTCCTCACCTGAGGAAGAAGAGGGGCTGTGAGGCGGCTGCGCGCTCACGCAGCTGGTCCTTGCACGCAGCGGGGCTGCAGCTTTGAGTGGTACCCGACCACGCACGGCTGACAGGAAGCGGGTCTCTTCCCCAAGTCAGGGGCTCTCCATGCCCAGAGACGCCCACGCTTCACAGCCACATCCTCTACCTTCCAACCCCTCACAACAGTGTGCAGTAAGAGGTGAGACAGGGAGTGGGTCACCACCAACCCCCACTATATTTGGAGTCTGCTTTCCAAAATTACATTCCCCACTCGTGATTTCTGAATTTTCAGGATAAAACCCACCATTTGCTATCACTGAATAAAAACAAAAAAGGTTTCAACACCTGTGAAGTCTCTTGTTGCCCTACAGACAGTACAAAGAACTGGATGTAACAGCGTGCCCCGCTGTGGCTCTGCAGCCTGCACACAGGCGTCCACAGGGAGACCCATCAATACATTTTTGGCTGTGAGAAATACTAAAAGGCCCTCTGCTCCTCGAACTATTTACTCATGACTGTTTATTATCTCAAAAAGTTCCAGAACTTTGGGAAATCTACATCACAGGGTCTGAAAACAGAAATAAAAGTCTTACACAAAAGTACGTATTTTTTTGGCAGGTTTAAGAAATTTGGCTTATTCCTTCCAAACAGGGACTTGACTCATGGCAGACAGAAGCCTCAGAAACAAACTGTGCAACTCCCCAGGCTCATGCTGGGTTTTAACCATTTGGTGAAAGCTGTCAAAAGTCAATTTCTCTAGACACCAAACAGGGACTCGGGAATTAAAAGGCAAAGGTGTCTTCTATTTTGTTGTAGCTAACCTTTCAGAGTAAGACGGTAGATGGCCTCCACTCGCTGCAAATCCAAAGCACCGAGGTTTTCTCTGAAGAACAAGCTTTGCATTCAGTTACAACCACCCTTGTCCCAGCACAGTTGAAATGAACAGACTGATACTGTTTGTACAGAGTAATTGTTTGGAACAGATTGTCTCATTCCTCTGACATAATTTCAATAATGTGTCAATAAATTTAAACAGATGGGATACTACGATAACTTTTTTTTTCTAAAAAAAGGTCCCTAACATTCAAACTTAACCAAAAGAGGCATCTTTAGAGATACAGAGCTGAATACAGTTCCAGAAATCCCAAGAAAGTGGAGCATTCAAGGGCACAGTTTGCCCATAAAACAAATCCTTTTCTTCCTCATCACTCTACTTTTGCATCAGCTTCTTAGAGTAGTTCTTGGCGAACTGCTTTCGTACTTCTTCATGCTTCTTTCCAAGTTTCAGTGTGTTGATCAGGTTTAAGGTTTTTCTCAGTTCATGCACAGGCTTGTTTACAAAGCCACAATATTTTCTTTTCGGGACAAATTCCAGAGCCTTTTTCCAGTCACCAGTATCTTTCAAGGTTAATAAAATATGCATCATTTGATCCAGCGTGAGATTTTTAGCACCACTATTCCAAAGTAAGTACTTCTCCAACGGGAGGGCCGCAGTCTCCAGCCCCAGTCGCTTTGCCCGTGCTAAAGAGACTCCTGTTTTTATGCTCTTGTCAACCATCGACCCGATGATATAGATTTTATCATGATCAAATGTTTTCATGACTTTGGGAGAATCAGCGGTCAGATAGACAAGCTTGTCCTTTGGAAAAATTTCTGTGTAGCACTGGTCTGTCGCAGTGATAAGTAATTTGCCCCATGCCTCTCTATAATGCTTGATAAATTCCTTACAGTAGAGGCTGTCGTCTTGCAAATTACAGAAGTGGAGGTGGAACGGATCCACAGATCTTCGATTGCAGCCTTCACTTAATACAAGCTGTCTCACCGTGTTTGCAACTTCTCGGATGGACATATCTTCTTCGTAAGACATGTCAAATACCAGAGGCTGGCCGAAGATCATAGACTGAGCAGCCCTCCAGCTGTATGCCCTATCCATACATTTGGACCACAAACACACGAATGAATTACTTTTGGTCTCATCAGTTTCTGAAGCTCGCTCTTGCTGTGTTTCCAGCCTCCTTTCCCTTTTCTCATTCATCTTTCTTTTGTCGTTTTTCTTGCTAAGTTCTTTGATATGTAAAAATCTTAAATACTTCTTTTTGGCTGACTTGGAAGGACACTCTATGAAGGTTTTTAGCTGTTCTTCACTGATATTTTCTGGAACCGATCTGCCAGCTATTCTCCACATCTCCACCATCTCACGTGCAGCAGCCAAAGTGGAAAGCTCCTTACGCTCAGGGACCGTCTCACTGACTTCTTGCAATCCTGACTTCATTACCTTCTTCCATGCATCTAAATCTAGTTTTTCTGAGGGACTGCATGAATTGTCCTGCTTCAGGCAAAGCGATAAACTCAGAGTTCTACTGAGTGGTAACAAATCCTTTTTCATTCCATGTTGTGCAGCAAATGGAAGGACAGAACTTCTTACAATTTTTTTCAGAAGCATATTGGCAGACTGCATACTTCGACACGTTCTGTGTTCAAACAGCTATCTGCAAAACACCAATAAGAGAGGAAAAAACTTGTCAGAAATCACAAAGAAAATGCACACAGATTTCAATCCTTGGTAACACTGACAGACAATAACTTACTTCTTGGAGGACACCAGAAATTCCTACTTCCACTATTACTTTTCTACTGCTTTTCAAATAAAACCAGCGTACGTGGTGCTGCTGTGAAGAGACATGGTTAGCTCTGCTCCTTAAAAAAGCTATACTTACTGCCATTCAAAATGTGGTCAAACAACCTTTAAGTCTTGTCCGAGATCTCTCTAAATTATCTCTATCATATAACAAATAAGAACCTTCGCAACCAATGCAAGCAAAATGCTGCATGAAGACCAAAAATATTTTTATGTATGTCCAGAGGTGCCTATATAATTTACCTTTACTGTGAAAATAGGCAAGATGCTTCATCTTCTAACATTTTCTGCAACAACTCAGTATCACAAAAGAACACATTTTTGCTTTTACCATTATATTTTGGGAAAGCTCTATTCGCAAACTTCAGTACTGAAGTTTTTCCTCTTCTGTGGATTTCCACATCGCAGGTCACTGGAGCTACTGAAACTACCAATGCTCCAGTTCCGCTAAGCTGTCACTGCTGCCACTGAAGGCGCTCTTATGTCCCCTGAGGCCCTTGTGCCTGGCTCCCTCAGCAGTGCAAGCATTCACATAGCCACACCATGAGCCAAATCAGAGAACCAATCTTAAGAGACAGCTGGGCAGGAGGTGGAGAAAGGAAAAAAAGCTAGTTACCACCTCACCCAAAATGAGTTCCCATGCCTGAGTTACCAGACACTTCCAAGAAAGATGAGATGCAAGAATAAACAACTAGCATAGGAAAAAAACCATCTCTTTTCTTTTTGTGAAATTGCCTGTGAAGTTGGTGTGGGCACATAAAGCTAACTACATGAAACTCACAGTCCCATTCATTTCATTCACAGTGGTATTTAAATATAAAAAGTCTGCAAAAAGAGAAACAACAAAGAACGTTTAATATTTTCCTTCTCCTATGCAAACCTACTTTAGTAAAACCAGTGAACTTTCAACATTTGAGAAAACACTACATGACCAAAACATTAAAAATTAGCTCCAAATTTTAAAAGCAAAATTCATAATGTCCCTAATAACTTACTACCAGAGAATAATTTAATATGCAGAAGAACAAGTGAAATCTAATTTGGGGGTTATATACACACCTGCCCACATAAAGAGCCACAGAAAGAGCAGCGTATTATTTGGAATCCTTATATAAACTGGCATGTGTTTTGCGATACTGTAATTCACCAAACTCCTGGCTGACCTTTCACTTCCTACTGTTATTAAAATAAAATGAACAAACAAAAAAACCCTAATAGTGTGACGTTAAAGAGAAAATGTGTAAGGGTTACAGTGGAGATATTTGTAACGATGTTTAAGCGTTAAACAAACTGGCAAAAGTAATAATCAAAAAAGTATGCTGCCCAGCTTGGAGAAATCAAGGGTCGGTTAACTGACATTACTGGAGCTCCAATTAAGACAACAGTCGAAAGACAGATTTACACAATCTGAATACTTGTTGGCAGCTTTCGATTAAAGCCAAGTTACCTTTCAGTGTGTCTGACATGAACACTACCCACGGCATTACTGCAAAGTTTACTGTAAAAATTACTCTTTGCTTTCTTTTTTTTTTTTTATTAAGCATGACTTCACTGTTAAGTAATCCCAGGAACAGCAAGGCCCTTCACTGATTTTTCAGAGACTGAAAAATTCGGCTGCTTCCCGCAGCACAGATGCCCAGGAGTGGCTGCCCGCCAGCCTGACCCTTACCCTGCAATGCGGACTGAAAGGCGGCGTGGTCAGAGGTCGGGAGCAGACCAGAGCAGGCTGAGCAGCGAAGCGGCTCTTCCCTCTCTTTAACAACTTTTAAACCAGCCCGCCATCGCACGGAACCGTAACAAGCCAGGCAACACCTCAAAGCACCGCGCTGCGCCCCACAGTTCTCCCGGGGACACCGCTGCCCCCCTCTCCCCGCCGCTGCGGCGGAGACCGGCAGAGGGAGCGCGGCCTCTGGGGCACGGAGTCACAGGGCCGACCCGCGCCCACCGGGCTGGAAGGTGAAAGAGCGCTCCCGAGGTCACCAGAGGCTACCGGCGGGTCGAGGAGGGGAGGGT